TATAAATTTGATGAAATTTTATTTCAATTTATTAATATTTCATCTGATTTATATGCATAATAAGTATCTTTTAAATACTTATTTAAGCTAATCTTTTTATAACAATTAGCTTTACTTAGTTTTATGAATTCTTTTCAATTTTATGTTTTTAATAAAAATTGTCTTTTAATTTATTTTATATTAATATTCGGTTTTATACAATTAATTTAATAGAAACTCTTTTTATAGTTTTTTGTAGAATGTTCAAATATTAGACAACCAATTAATTAAGTCTACTCATTATAAAAACAAATAATATTACTTAACTAGATCGCAAAGATAATTTAACCAATGATTTCTTTCATCATTATATTAATAAAGTTATTTATTATAATAATCTAATAGGTCTAAAGATAAGCAAAAATATGCGAATGATATTAAAAAATCATCTATATTAAGATATAGTTTTTGAAGAAAAATTTATAAAGGTTAAATAATAAATTTCGAAGGATAATTATTAAGAGCGAAGTTATAAAATCAAGCTTTCTTTTTCCGAGACTATTACTCTCAAGCTGTTAATTTCTGCATTTTTTAAGACTATTAAAGCTAAAACTTCTAGATTTTATTTTATTGATTACCAGACTCAATGTATTGAATATGAAGAATTTCTAAATATTAAATAGGGTTTTATTTATTAATAGTAATTATTCATTTTAAGTTAGTGCTCTGTGTTAGAGATAATTAATTAGTTAATCTATTACTGGTATTCCTTTATGATTCTTAAGCGGATTATTACTGTGATTAATAAAGTTCTTATTACAATTTAATGAATTTAGATTTGATAGTTTCAAGTTGACGTTTTGTCAATATTTAAGTAATCCTCATTCATTTATGTATCAACATTGGCTAAACTGTTTTTAAGTTATCTAATATCGTGTTAACTCTAAGTAAACAACTAATTAATTGATTTTAAATCATTTTCTCTGACAACTTCACATCTACTATTTTATCATTATAAATCTTCTAGTTTGCTAAATTTGTCTTCCAAAAACCAATATTGATGTCTAAGTTCATAATATTTATCCTTCCAGTATCATTCTGATTTCGATGATATCCAGGAACTAGATTATATACTCATAGTACCTTCTAAAGTTCGAACTACGACTGGGTATATACTTCTAACAACTGTCATCTAAGTATGCGGAATATTGATAACAGATTGAGTAATTTAATGACGAGGATAACGCGTTTGCATCTAATAAAAATATTAATCATTATTTAAGTTCTTAAATTGATGTTTCTTTTATTTCTAGTTTATAATAATAAAGTTTACAATTTACAATCTCCTTTACATTTGAGTAGTAATACAAAAGCAGTTTCATAAATACATAGTTGATAATATTGTAAATTTAAAGTAAAAAAAAAATTAAAAAGCAAAATGAAATTAAATTGTAAGAATTTAAAAATGTGTTTCCATTGGTTTAATTAATTCTTATGTAAAGTTGTTTGTATAAAAATATATCTATTCAAAAAAGTCTTTTGATTGCATTTGTAAAATAACTTGATTTTGAATGTCTTAAGATATTACTCATTTTCTCGAAAATTGAAAAAATTATTGATCCATCCTTATTTGTGGAATTAAGATGTTAAATAAAAATATGATCATTAGCAGTTACAGGAGGAGTTGTAAACAATGAATTCATAATCATAATAAAGTAATCGAATTCAGCCTAAGCGATATCACTGAAAAATTATTTTGTAAATCTATTCTACTTGTCCTCTCCAGAAGGATAACTTTGTCTGTATAATGAATGTACATAATTTAAAAGTATTTGTTGATATGAATAGGTTACCTAATAATTGTGTCCAGAGCTTGATTTACAAAATTATTGACTATTAAATATGAGCATTCGTTATAGTTGCTTAATCTGATTGTATATCAATGTTAATTTGTATTTTTAGGAACATTTCTTTTTAATAACTTTGTATGTATTTTAATTAAATTGACGGGATTCAAAATAATTAAAATAAAATTTATTAAAAAGGAAATGGCTGAGTACCAACCATAAGCAATTGTTTAATAGCCTGCTTTATTTGGAGCACCTTAAGCCGTAGTAGGTTAGCCTTAATTCGTAAGACCCATAATGTTGGGAAATTCTACTTACTAGCAATAATTAGTAACAAACTAGAATTTGGGTCAAAGTGGATTCTATTAAGGAGGTGGAATGTTAGTTAATCAACCAGTTTTAGGTGCATCAGCGATAAGTTCCAACATTGTCTCAGTAAATAATTGTTTGAAGCTAGACTGGATAAGCAGTTAAAGGAGAGTCGAGAATTGAGTACATTCCCTATGAAAAGACAATTATGGAATATGAAGAAGTGAGAAGATAAATTCAGGTACCTATAACAAGATAGATTACTGAATATTAAGCCATCTAATATGAAACTGAATATATTCCTTAAGTTATCTAAGAAAAAGTGATTGAATATATGCCAGTAGAAAAATTGGCTGAAAGAGTTGAATACTAAACAATTACAAGATAAAATGTGCTTTAAGTAAAATATATGTGTAAAACCAATAGAATAATGTATAATAAGTATAATAAACATAAATCTAACCAATTGTGACAACTTAAACATATTAATCAGCCACTCCTATTGTCTAAACTGTTTAATAACCTATCGTTTAAACTGTATAATAACCTATTGTCTAAACTGTTTAATAACCTATTGTCACACAAGTGGCATAACCAGTTGTCTAACAATAAATAATTTAGAATGTTCCACAAACCTATTATTCAACATATCAATAACCAATCACTACTTAATATATTTAGCAACCTCTACCTGTCTAATAGACCCAAGTTTATTAAACATCAAGTCCAAGAATCAGATAAACTTCATAATTTGTTCAAGCTCCAGTAACTACTACCACAGCTTATACCTAACAACCAGTTCTTTACCAAGCATCTCAAACTCGAGTGGGTGCTCCTGTTGTCTAAACATAGCCTCCTGTTTATGCTTATTAACCATAAGGATAATAAATAATCGCCTAATAAGGATTAGTAACACAACCTACACAACAGAAATTACCAAACCAACCCAATTAAATCAATCAGGCTCCTACCCAAACCCCTAAGGTGAGTTAGCCACCTTAGTAACAATAAACCAGTTAAGTTCCACCAACCTTGGTATCTTATTTTATTAAATTAGCAATAGTAATAACAACCATAATAGCAAGTATAACAGAAATAGGATAAAGGATTTTTGGCCAAATTATTCGATTGAAAATATATTCATGGTGCATTATAAAATAAATATAAATTTTTTTAATTCATGGCAAAATCATAAAGATCTAAAGTTATGCGTAGATGGAGATCACTTAAAAGAGAACATCTACAAAATATTAAAGTGAATTAAGATCTTCATGAATTAAATTAAAAATTAGAAGCAACCATCCAAAATGTAAATCTCATCATTTTTACCTACTTTAGAGATTTCAAAGACCTACCCAACCAAAAAATATGTTTCTACATCCAAACGACCCAACCGCCTAGATTCCTAAAATAAAACCTTAACCTATTATTGATTTTAGAAGCTAATCTTTACCTTACACAGCCACTTAATTTGTTGGGGCAAGAAGAAAGCCAGTTTAGGAAGTAGTTTTCAAACCAGAACCAGAAGTTGAAGAAGAAATTGAAATGGATAATCAACCATAAAATGAATAGGTTTAACATGATGAAGCAGATGATTTGATTAATGCAATGGAGGGAGTAAGAGTTAAATCAAAAAGAGAAATCAGAAGAGAAAATAAAGCCAGAGCTATGGAAGAGATTATTCCCTTAACAAAAAATAAAGAAATCAAAAAAAGTAGAAGAAAGGAATTACCAGCAAGAAAATCAAAAAGAATAATTACCTTTTGATTAATGTTTATATAAATGTATTTATATACAATCACAAAAATACCCTCATTCTAATAATTGGTAGTATTATCTAAGAATATTTACAAGTACATGATTCAATTCATGTGGAGACTTCAATAAATAAATAAATTTACTTTGATTATAATATAGTATCTGAATGGGAAATCCTCTAAATAGTTTCTAATTTCAATCTTCTATTTATCATTAACTGTTACATAATGAGTAGACTTAATATTAGTTATTGATTAATCTAAAATAGATAAATTTAATACCTTCTCTATCCAGAATTATAAAGACATAAAATATTTAGAGTTCTTCAGCTTCTCTCACTAATGGTCTCACCATCTTCTTGTTGAATTTACCATCTGACATAATAAAACAAATTTATTATGCATTTGCAACTCTGATATTTTTGAATTAATCAATAGATTCTCTCATAAACCTCATTAATGATAATTCACTGCTTTATTTCGATTCAAACTCAAAATTAAATTAACCCAAAATGAATGGACAATCTAATTAAGTAAAAGGTTTATTAAAATCATGTAACAATCTCATTCCTTCATGAATACTGGCTATCCCAATTTATCCTGCCTCCATTTTAGATAGAGCTAACGATAAAGATGTTAAAGATTAAAGTGATAAATAGCCAACTTAATTTTCACTCATACTTAATGAATCATCTAAAGCTAAAAGTATTTAAAAAGTTCTTTTTTATGGTTATGTTCTCCTTAACCATATTTTATCTTTTCTATAATTACTTGCTATATATGGTATTATTTTCTTCATATTTAATCTTTTTCCTGTTTTATAATCTCCTTTTAAAGCAGAGACCTAAGTAGCTATTAAAATAGACTTAAGTTCTTCACAAAGATGAATTGAGCTTTCAAGTACTTCTTATTACAATTTAGGCCACATTTCTAATCCCTTTTATAAATTAATATCTCCATTTATGTCATATCCCAATCTGAAATATTACTTGATGTATTCTTCTATTGGGATATCACTCTAATTCTTATTTTCAATTTCGATAGGTTGTGGAATAATAAATTCTTTGTTACTTTAATTCATATTTTCTTGATTTTCTTTCTCTTATTCCTCTTTCTTCTCTACTTTTTCTTCATCCATACTTTTGCCTTATCCTTTCTCTTTATTTTCTTCTCCTTCTCTTTTCATATCTTGAGTTTCATTTTATTAAAATTTAGTTGGTAAATTAGTGGTATTATCTCTTTTATGCTGGATTTAATCCTTAGAAACTTTGTAATCATTATCATGAATTGCATCTTCATTGTCATTTTCTTCTTATTCACTATCATGAACATTGAGATCTTTTTTGAAATTATCCATGTCCTCTTTTGTTAAGTGTTATTCCATAGCATCAAATAATTTTTTAATCATCTCCAATTTAGAGTCACCTCCATCTTCTCCTTATTCTCTTTACTTCTTATTTTTATTATCTTGTTCTTTTTATTTTTTATCATTTTCATCTTTATCCTAGGTTCCTTCCTCTCCTTATTATCCCTAATCTTATGCTTAATCGTTTAATTAATTTTCTACATCTTATTAATTTGTAAATAATTAATTCTAATTTTGATCTTATTCTTCTTCAATATTGTCCATATCTTATTTTTCTAACTGTTCAGCCTATTTTTACATAATATCTTCATTTATATCTTATTTCTCAGGCTCTTATTCCATATTTGGTTCATCAAATTTAATTTCCTCTTCTATAGGCATTTCATCTGGATTAGGATTTTCTTCTTCATTCATACTAATGTTTTCTTGATCTTAATTTTATGATTAATTATTATTTAGTTCTTCAACATCTTCTTCGTCCATAGATTCTAATTATTCTCCTCCTTTTCCTGCATAATCTTTAAGATCTTCTCCTGAATCCTCAATTGATTCTTCATTTTCTTCATCTCCATCTTATTCCTCTTCTTCTATTTGGCTATCTACATTATGACTGTCTTCATTTAGATCTTTCATATTTCTCTTTTAATTATTTTATTTTTGTTCTCTTTCCTCTTTAGCTTGTATTTTTTTGTCATCCTTTTCTTCATCAGCATTAAATTCTATATCTGATTTCTTTCTATTTGATTTAGCTTCATCTTCATTTTATTCATCATCTTCTTCTTCACTTCCTTAATATTATTTCATATCTTCATTATCTTCATTAACAGATGAGAATCCTTCATCCATTGAATTCTTATCTTATTCTTATTCTTATTCTTCATTTTCTTCATCTTTACTTTATTCTTAATTTTAACCATCAAAATCATTTTTCATATCAAAAGCATCTTCCTTTTTATCTTTCTCTTTTTCTTATTCTTATTCTTCTTCTTCAGGTTATTATTACTATTATTATTTTTGTTCTCCTAATAATTATTCTTCATATTCTATTTCTTTAGTAACATTTTACTCTCCCTTTCCTTCTCCAATTCCTGTGCCGGCTTAAAAGTTTTCTTAATTATCTTCTCCATTTTCATCTTAATCATCATCTTTTTAACAAAATCCTTTAACAATTATATTGCATAGGATACTGGTCATAAAATACAAAAACTTACAACTATATTCTAAATTTTTTATTACTAAATTTAACTTAGATTAATCAATTCCATGTTTATTAAATGAATTTAATATTTTAATTTCCCCTGCTAATAGATTTTCTTCTTATTCAAGATTTTTCATATATTTTATATAAACAATCTATATCTTCTCTTAATTTACTTACTATTTTTCTTCATTCAAAACATTCTACTTTAGATCATTAATCTTAATTTATAATAGATATTCATGCAGTTATTTGAGTATATGATATGAATTTTCATATTTATTAGAGTAATTATGAAACTTGGATTCAATTAAATCAAGCAATTTAGACAAAGATAATTGATCTTTATTTATATTAAACTCGTTTAATTAGTCATAAATATCTGTATCTTTAAAGCAATTAAGATAATCTTATGGAACTACTTGTACATATTATGAATTTGACTCATTTTCAATCTTAATTAAAGGTCTTATCAATTTAAATTAATGATTCAATTTCCTAATATAATCTAATATTAATGAAAATGATTTAGTACTATATTCTGGAGGAACAAATTTACCAATTTATTGAGCTGATTATTCCATAACAGATATTGCTTTATAATAATAAAAAGAAGCTTTTGATATTAATGGATGAGCTTCATTTTGTAATAGATAATTATCTTCTTTGTATGATTAGTGCATTTTTAAACCTAAAAATGTACTAATATATTCCTAAAAGTTCTTTAATGCAGCTAATTTGGAATTAGATTTTTATTCTTTCAAATTTTTAACTCTTTCTAAACTTTACTCAATTAAATTTTAAAGCATGGAATGGAATGATTTGTTAGATTAAGGCTTTTATTAAAATTACTTAGATTTGAGTAAAAATCCATCTATAGAATCTGTAAATTCATCCTGTAATTGTATTTTGATAACAACTTTTTATAATTTCTCATTCAAATAAGCTCTAAATCTACCTTAAACTTTAATTAGTTTTCCATGCATTTTGTGAGATGTTTATTGCACAATAATATAGTTTTTAGACTCCCAACTTACTAATTTACGATATTCTGCTACTTCTTTTATATAACCTTAGACAGTAGATCCTAATTATTAATTATAGGTTTCTATAAATATTGAACTTTATTCAATATGTTATGAAATCAATTATCTCTATTATAAATTCAAATATTTTAATATCTATCTTAACATAATTATTCTTATTTCAAAAACTCCAATGTCACATTCATTTAAATAAGTTTTAAGAGAATTATGGGTTAAATCTCTTAATAACTTAAATAATATAATACTTTCTACACACCATAGTTCTTGTATTTTATTAGCTAATATGTATTTCCATCCATCTCTTTCAATTTTTCTCCATTTTATAACAAGGTTTTACAAATCATATCCATAGATTTTAAATTCTTTTGGAACAGTTTTATCCCATAATTCAATTTTTTCTAATAACAATTCAATACCAGTTATCATTTTGATTAATGGAGTAGAATAAGCATTCTACTTTAATAAATGAACAATAAATATTCCCATACTTTAAATTACTTCATTTTCTGCAAATAAATCATCTTCTTAAATTGATTTTATTTTAATTAATATTTTCATTAATAAATCTGTTGCTTTAGTTATTTCATCTTAATCAGTTTATTTATATACATTTTGTAATTTATTGAATTATAATTTATATAAAAATGCATCAATATGCATATCATCTGAAATAGACAAAGTTGGTTAAATAAATCTACCAAACATCTTTGTTATAATTAATGGATTTTTATTTTATGATTCTAATTCTAAAATATAATCTAAGAATTCTTTGCTTAGAATATCTAATTAACTCAATTCTTCTCTTACATTATGTTTTAATTCATCTGTTGTTACTTTACCAACCTATTCTAATTCTTCTCTATATTGATTTAATTCTTTCTTTAATTATTATTCTAATTGTTTTTATTCATTTTCTACAGTATTATCATTATATTATTCTACAACTAATCCTTTAATCTTTCTACTTAATAGTATGTATAATTTTGCATCATCCATTTTAAAAACATCTCTTTCTTCTTAACTAATTAATTATTAATCAGAAAATTTAATAAAATTCTATTCCTTTAAACTTCTTAATTAATATTTGAATCCACTATTAGATAATTAAGCAGTTGGTTCAATAGGATATTCAATAAACATTAAAGACTCATAAATTGGTTAAAGAAAATCCTTAAATCCATAATAATATTTATCATATGATTAGATTATCCAAGCCTCTATATATTATCTATTCATATTTTTGCTGATTGTTAATAAAGCTTATTTTAAATCTTAAATAAATTGCATTGTAGCTTCTAAGTTAGATTAGAAAGGATCTCTAATAAATAGTCTTTCTTTTATTTAATCTACTTTTAGTTTTGTTGATTCTAATAATTCACTTAATTATTAATGTTTCTCCTAATAATATCCTTTAAGTAGATATTATGAATCAAAACATGCA